ATAAGCATTTTTCTTTTAATGGAGTGTTTCATAGTTTTACTAATGTAATATACTGAAAAACCTAGTATTTTGATATCACGATTATGGAACAAATTTAAGAGAACTTTTACTTTTACCCATAAAACTTTCTATTTGAAAAAATAATACGTTTAATTTAAGTTTATACAAATTTTTGCTGCCATAATTTATAAATAATTTTCACATTTTTTAATGTTATAAAAATGAAAATAAAACAAAATAATTTTCAAGGATATTGAAAAATGGTTTATTGCTCCTTAAGATGTCTTCTAGATCAAACTTATCATWAAGTTATTACTTATTAGATATGCAAAGATCAATTTCTTTTATTTGAGTTGAGTTACATAGTTTCAAAGAAATCAAGGTCGTGTTTAAAATGGATCTTTTGAACATTTTTTTTTTTTGTAAGTTCAAACTTACAATCACCCATTGGCCGTTTGATCGATATAGTTAGTGTACCTAGAACGAGAAGCAGAACCACAACTAAAAWACTGTGGGTCAGACCATTTCAAGAAGCCACTTATTATAGGTTGAAAAATGAAATATTTCCAACCTGTTTTCAGCCCCTTAAAATTAGTTAAGATGGACCAATATGGGTTTCTTTTGATGAGTCAACAATGAACAAATGCAAAGGGCAGGTAGGTATATCAGTAAAGTCATCAATTCATCATCAATAAATCGTAAATATCAAATTATGTTCTGTGCCATCTAAATCATTTCTTTTGAATTGTATGCTGTTAGAAAAATGCAATAATAAAACCTTACTAAATTATTTAATGATTCTATGAACTTATTATGACCAAATGCTCAAATGTTATAAAATGTGAAAATGTATTTTAATTTTAACCTCTGCTGCTTTTTATATGGTCAAATCCTGAAGTATTTTGATAGCATATTTTCCYAAACTAGTTCATTTTACACGTTTAACGCATGTCTTTCATTGTATTTCAGAAACAAAAAGTTGTTATTATTCCAAAGTTGATCAATTAATAGTGATGAACTGATGACCATTAAAAAAAAAAATTTAAAACTCCAAATAGCGTTTCCAAATTTAAATAAATGTATCATAATTACCTCATGAATCTATTATTACATGACGGAGAATGAAACTGTGATCATTTTTACAAAATAAAAATATATTAAATTCCGATTCTGAATCATCCACAGCTATTGAAAAGTCAAATTCACTGATTCAAAATATCAATTTAAAAAATAATTTGACATACATTTCTAAAAATTATTGTTTATGATTTCAACGATTGAACAGTAGAAAACTAAAAATATGTCTTTGATAGAAACTAGAAAGTACCTATTAGCATTGTGTAATAATCTGAAGATAAATTAGAAAAAACTCAAAAGCGATAATAGCACATGCATCATGGGAGAAATGGCCGAAAAAATTTTTTTCATATAATTGAAAAGATCCTAGATTTCAAAC